AGTGACTTATGACCAGTTTGCACACAGCTGTTGTAGCATCCCCATGGTCATGTGATCAAAATTCATACACTTGGCAATTGATTCATATATTTTGATGGTTGCAATGCCCCAGGGTCCCGTGATCCCCTTTTGCTATATTCTGACAAGCAAAGTCAACGTGGAAGCCGGATTCACCTAATAACAGTTTGACTAATTTAACAACCACTGCGATTCATTTAACTGTGGAAAGAAAGGTCATAAAATGCAGGCAAACTCACTTAACAAATCTTTCACTTAACAACAGAATTTTTGGGCTCAATTGTGGTCGTATGTTGAGGTCTACCTATAATATGATTTAGGCCTCCTGATCACAAGAGCTTGCTATCTTTGATGGAACTGTGAATTCTGAATTGTACTAGCAAATTCTACATGAAAATATCAGGGTATATGTCTATGAACTGAAGCTCAAAAAAAAAAAAAGCTTTTGGAACTTGCAAGTCAAAATCTTTACATTAAGTGTAGAAAAATGTTAAAGGATATAAGCAAGCAGTTTGTGAGAGGAGGCCCACCAACATCCCTGAGTTAAACCTGTTCTCTGAAGAGGAATGGGCTGATTTTTTTCCAGTTTGTTTGCAGGCTTGATCAACAGTTACTGGAAATGTTTAATTGGTTATTGCTTACCAAAGAGGGCACATGTTACTAAAAGCAAAGTTTCACATTTTTTACATATACAAATATATAGCTCTGGAATTTTCTCATGTTTTAGGTTTATATTTATGCAGAAACATTGAAAATTCAAAAAGTTTCACAAACTTAGGAATTGCTGTAAATCCCAGCAGATTAAGACAAAATTCTAAAAATAACATTCATGAGAAATAACTTGGCTGTTTATAATTGGAAATTTGTTAGATTTTTATCTCAGCATTGTTACTTTATAGGTATCTCAAAGCAACAAACACACCTAATATTCCCTCTTCCTGTGAGGAGTGTTGGGTTGAGTGTGTGACTGACCCAAAAGTCCCCCAGGTGGCTTATGTACCTAAGGCAGGACTAGAACTGCATCTCCTGGTTTGTAGGCCAGCACCTTAACCACTACCATCAAGCCTGATATTGGAAATAGTGTACCTAAAACCAGAAAAAATGGCATTACAATTATCAAGTTTAATGTCCAATTACATTGTGGTGGAGGGATCTGTACTATCTACATACCCACTGAAATTTACAAAGTGTAAAAAAACAATGGCAATTGGCAAAAAAGCTTGGAGTTGGAAAAAATGTTTCAAGTAGCCTTTTTGATATACTGACATTTGTATTCTAATCTAGAGTAGAAAAAAATCCCATTCTATGGAAGCTTTGTATTTTCTGAAATCAGAATCAATGTTACGTCTGAAATCAGAATCAATGATGTATTTCATCATTCCCTGTAAAAAACTTATTATGGAGAATGAAGCTGAAGTCTACCCCTTTCCCATCTCCACATCTGCTAACTGGGTTCTAAGAACATAAGTCTGTACAACATAGGGGGAGCTGAACCCAATTGGACAAATTTGCAAGCCTATTCAATAGTCTTTGCTTCTGTTTGCAGGAAATTAGACTTGAATGCCTATTTAGTCCATCAGTCCTATCATTGTCATCCTAATATACATACCTGGAAGTAAATGCTTCTATTTATATAATATCTACAAGTAAAAATGTATCCAATGGGGCTTGCCACGACTACACAAGTTTTGCAGAACTGGGCCCCGTTTGATGAAATACCCCAATCAGCTGTGCTAGCACAACACACTGAACACTAATTTTACTATATGACCAGCTGGCATAGCATATAGAAATAGAAGTATTTTAGTTTAAGTCTGTACTTGACCTGCAGGAAGGTTATGATCCAATATTTTTCTATCTCTACACACTTAGTTGGGAATGTTTAATTCATGTACTAATTTAATGTAATTTGAGTAGCAGGCAGAAGTATTAGGTATGTTCACCACCTTAATTATCCAGTATAGGGGAAATGAAAATATAATCATAATCATCTTAGAGCTAGTTTGGTCTAAGGTTGGTTAAGGCATCAAGCTAGAAACCAGAAGTGTGCAAATTTTAGCCCTACCTTGAGCATGAACCCAGCTGGGCGACTTTAGGCCAGTCACTCAGTCTTAGAAAGCAGGCAATAGCAAATCACTCTTGAAAAATCTTGGAAAATCACTCTTGGAAAAATCACTCCAAGAAAACTGCAGGGACTTGTCCAGACAGTCGGCAGGAGTAAAAAAAAAACAAAAAAACTTCAGGAGGCACAAAATCTTTAATGCTCATCGTTCTATTTAAGATCTCGCAACGACCAAATAAATCATTCAACGGGGTGCACCATCCCAGATATAGAGAAGGAGCCAAGGCTTCATTTATGACAGGATCGTCAAACTTGGGCCTTTTATGACTTGTGGACTTCAACTCCCAGAATTCCTCAACCAGCGTGCCTGGCTGAGGAATTCTGGGAGTTGAAGTCCACAAGTCATAAAAGGCCCAAGTTTGAAGACCCCTGCTTTACGGGGTCTCTCCGTCTCAAGCCCTGGAAGAAAACCCGACTTGTCTTCCACTCACCCGTTTCACCTCAGTGCCTCTCTTCATGGGTCAGCGAGTTTCTGAGTAAGAGAGCCCGCTAAGAAGAACCTCCGAAGAGCAACCCCGCTGAAAAGTAGTTGAGAGCAAAAAAATCAACGGGCGAAAGAAGGTTCCTCGTAGCCAAGCGATGAATCCCCGGTACCGCCGGGTTCCAAATCATCTCAGCAACAACTTCCTCTGAAAGACAAATGAAGGCGCCAAAATCCGCCGACGCATGCGCAGTTTTAGAATGGGGGGGGGAGGGCGGTCATTTCCTCACAGCTGATCCACTCTCGTAATCCGGAGGTTTTTCGTAGATATCAATCACAGTACGAGCGGAAATCAAATGGTTTCCCGCTGGGAACGGTGGAGCCTAGCTCTTGCCTCCGCTTTTCACTGGAAATAGAGCGAACGCCCAAAACTAAGAGAAGAGCCAGCGGGTAGACTGTAATGGTTTAATCCTGCCGCAAAGGATCATGGAACTTGTGGTTTTTTAAAAAAAAAAATTGGCCCGTTCTAGAACAGGAGTTTAAGTAGGTTTATATGCAATACTTGAAGTACGCCTCGAACCACGGAATTCTGATAGTTCAGAGATAGGCATATAGTTTCATTTTTCTCCCCGGAGATGTTAAGATCCTCTCCCCCTCCTTTTTCAAAAAGCTGCAAATATCCCATTGAAATATACTCACTTCTTTTAGTTACCTTATATTAACTGCAACAATGAGAATCTGATCCTGCAAATATCTCGTGAAAAAAGTTTACATTTTACAGAATTAACTGATTTGCTATATACTGCCTTTCTTTTAGGAATTCAAGGAGATATAGAGAGCACTCACTTCTCCAGTTTCTCCCCACCGCAACACTCTTTAAGTTGGTTGCCTCAAAGGTGGTTTTTCAAAAGGCAACAGAACTTTCTTATTTTTTTTCTTAAAAGTTTTACTTCAGTTCTGAAGAAGCTTCTTGGATGAGATGCCAAACATTTTCAAGGGAAAAAACCCCAAGAAAGTCCAGTTGCCTTTGGGAAAAGCATTTTGGGGACAACCATGACCTGGATGATTGAGAATCTCTAGACACTTTGAAGTTGGTTATACTGTGGATGACTAATTCAAAGTCACTGGTATGCTTTTGAGATTGAATCTGAATGAGTTTGGATGCTAAGCCACAATATGATTTTATTTTACATATTGTGTAAAGTCTGAAGTCATTACACATTAAAATTTAAGATTCTGCACCATAAACTTAGTTAACAAATTGCAATGTTTAACCAAAACCAAACATCACATTAAGAGTTAGTGTTTTGCATGAACAATGAGCCATTAAATGGTTTATTGTGGGTTAGTACATTATAGTAACATAGTTAATTGTGACTTCAGTAAAACCTGGAGTTGAGACCTATATCTTCAACATGATGGCTTCCACAATATGCCTCATCATATGTTTTTAAAGTTTGTTAATTTAAACAGTTAAATGTAAAGTTAACATATTACTAAGCAATATGTCAATCATAAAATTCCACAAAGCTTTTAGAGCATGCATATATTCCACCAAAAGTGGTAAAAATACACATGAAAGAAAACAAGCCAATGCTAGTTGAAATATGCTCACTTGTTTAAAAGACTAACAGAACCATCCAGGTTCTGAACAATCTGGCCAGGTTGCTTTCTGACAAATGGGGGATTGGTTACATTTAGGCAAACAAAGGGCCCATAGTTTTACTTTATTGAGTCAAATTGCCTGGATTCACAGAGCAAATTAAATAATTTAACTCTTACTGTTTGGATTTCCACATCACACTAAATCACCTTTTGACCAAAAGAACCAATGTTGTTTGGATAACTAGGTTTGTGAAGAACAGGTTTTTATACTGCAACTGGGCCAATATTAGATGTTTATTGGATTGCATCTCCAAAATTCAGTTGATACCAATGTGCTATCTTGGAATAAATGTTTCCACTCCCTAATAATTTGGTACGACTTAATTTTCGGTAAAGTAACCCTTTTTCTTCAAAGGAGCTGCTGAATCAAGTCGTAGTTTCATCTTTCCATTTACAGCCAACTGAATCCAAAACCTATCCGAGCCAATCATGAATGGTTCTTGGGTGCAAACATTTAATGCAAGCGCTTTATGGCGCGAATGCACCTTATTGATTGTGGGTTCAAACCTGTAGCCTCCCCACAACTCCGGCGCATACATTTCAAACGTACTTTACCAGCGTAACGAGTACAACTGTTCCTTGATTAACGAAGAGCGTTTATTGTTTTTCGCCACTAGTAATGAGCACTAATTGCAACCGGCACTCCTGGGAGCGATAAAAGAGAGGGCAGGCAGGAAGCCTCCCCTTAAACCAGGCTCCCTATCCCAGCATGGAGCGTTTCGTTTATCCGCCTTACAGCGTTTATCAAAGTTATGGGAGCAGCTTTACCCCAAGCCACAACTTGGCCTCGAGGCTACCGCCCAAACAGAAGCAGCCGAGCTGGAAGCAAAGCAAGAGTAGCGACATCTCTAATGCCTACCGAGGGGTGCTGTCTGCCCCTTCCTCGACTCCTCCGGTGACTTCGCCGGATTATTTGGACACTTACAAGCGAGCGCAGCTAAAGGCACTGCTGTCGCACGTCAGCCCGGGCCTCACCCCGCGGCTCCGTAAAGCCAACACCAAAGAAGTGGGCATTCAGGTGAACCCGCAGTCGGACGCCGCGGTGCAATGCTCGCTCGGATCCCGGCCGCTCCAGGCCGTCCGACCTCAAAGCCCCTCGGGCCGGCTCAGCCGGGAGCCGCCGCTCCCAGGCTTTTACTCGCCCGTGCTCGGACGCCGCCTTTTCACCTTGCCCGAAACGGCGGAGAAACCGAAGGTGCCGACTGAACGGCCGGCCTCGCCACAGTTCAAGCAGGAGTCCGAGGAAAAGGGAACGTCCGTCGAGGAGAAGGGAGACGGAGGCGCCGAAGAGAAGGCGGGAGCCGAGGACTGGCTGCCGGGCCACGCTGTCGGATACTCTGCCCAGCAGGTGATTGGAAAAGGAGGCGAGGCTGGGCGAAGCGGGAGTCGCTTCGCCGAAGAGGGCAAACGAACCACCTTCCAGGTGAGCGGCTCGGTGGTTTTCCGCTGGACGCTGCGCTTTTGGTTAGAAATCCCTCCGCTTTGGTGAAAGCGGGAAGGGGGAGTTTTTTCAAAACGCCGTGGAAGAACTTGTGTGTTAACTAGACCGTGGCTGCCTTCTTTGCCTACAGCAGTGTTTCCCAACCTCAGCGTCTTTAGGATGTGGGGACTTCAACTCCCAGAATTCCCCAGCATGTTCACCATACTCGTTGAGTGGTTCATTTAGGCCTTGGCCCAAGACGCTAGTGCAATGTCAGGCCTTGGCCCAAGACGCTAGTGCAATGTTTCCCAATCTCAGCGTCTTTGGGATGTGGGGACTTCAACTCCCAGAATTCCCCAGCCAGTTGGGAATTGAATCCCGTCAGTTAAAGTAGCTGAGGTTGAGAAACACTGCGCTAGTGTCTTGGGCCAAGGCCTGACATTTAAATGAACCAGTCAACGAGTATGGTGAACATGCGAATGCAACCAGGATGTAATGTTTGTTTGTCAGGTCTCTGAGTCCCCGTCCCACCCCAAACACAGGCATGGAATTTAATAGTATATTCGCAAGAGATGTTGGGATTAAGAATTATATAGAGCACTTTTTATAGTCCTGTACTTCTGGCTTTTTGAGTTTAGTACTTAGGATTCTGCTAGTAGCCTTTCTCTCTGGGGTAGTACTGTAATTGTTACGTGGGGTAACTTCACTCTTGCATGAGAAATGGGTGTAAAGTTCTTGAAGATGTCAAAATAGAATAGCATTTGGCTATGGGAGTAGAACAAAAGAGTATTTGGCCAGAAATAACTCTTATCTTAATATTTGGAGAATGATTTTTTTTCATGCTTACAGAACAAGGTAAATATATGGTGAATAGGATTTTTTTCCTCGAATTCTGCATTTAAAAAGTATGCTTTAAATGTTAATGGATTAAAGTAAATGTTTAAGAATCTTACAAAGCAAATTTAGTAATTTACTGTTCATGAAAAACTTTCAATTGCAGTTCTTAGAACAGAAATATGGCTATTTTCACTGCAAGGACTGCAAGACCAGATGGGAAAGTGCCTATGTATGGTGCATTTCTGGAACCAATAAGGTATGTTTAAGGGAACATTAGAAAAGTTGCTTCTATTGTTTAAGGTGTAAATTTCAGAAAAGGATTCAATGTCTGGACTGCATGTTAGAAAATGTAACTGCATTTCAAACTTGCAGAATCTTTTTAGGCTCAGTTCTGATTGAAAGAGTAAACTGGAAGTGATGTTTTTGTGCAATTTTTACTGTTAGCTGTAGCAGTGACCAACTGCAAATGCTGGAAGGCAGCATGTTGTTGGTTCACAGTTCATGATATTCTTGTTCACTTTCTCTGAACATAAATTATAGTTACATTTTAATACACTGAATCAGGTTTTTTTGCTTTGGGTTAAATCATGCAATGTTAAATGAATGGGAAATCATAAAATGAGCTGAATAAGACCTTTTAATGTCTGTTTGGCACAATCAGTTTTGCTTCAGTTGTGCTGCAATGTATAATTTTTTGCTGCTACATTTTAAAGATCCTCTGATCCAAGACTTCTCCCCTCAAATGTAGCACTTTCATTTCTAGGTATACTTTAAGCAGCTTTGTCGCAAGTGCCAGAAGAGCTTTAATCCTTATAAAGTAGAAGCAATTCAGTGCCATGTAAGTAAGACTTGATATTCAGCAACTTAGTATAAAAAGAAAAACTTGGATTTTTTTCTGGCTTACAAATTGCAGTGTATTAAGAAACTATTTGAATCATAATATTGTAATATACAATACAATTATCTGAGACAAATTGACTTCCATAAGTTGTCTTCTCCACCTCAACAAATAACGGCAATAAATGTGGCACTTTGAAACTTCTCATAGAAAGGCTATCATTTCGCAGACTTTGGATACAATAGGCAGAATGTCAGGTCAGTCAGCCCATGGAAATTGGAAGTTTGCTGCATCTGAACTGTAAGGCACTTACATTTATAGTAAATTACATCATTTGTATGTAATGTAATCATTTTTGTCAAATGATACTTTTGGACTTAATTATTATTGGAAGAATTAATGAATTCTCTTCTTCTGATGACTGTTAAGTCTTACTGTTCATCAATAGGTATGGATAATTCAGATGCTTCATTTCCTTGTTCTTAATAACCAAAACTACCCCAGGAATTTATTAGAGAACTTTAGAGGATGGTTGTTAACTACACAATTAAAAATATAGGGTATTTTCTTAATCCTGGTTCAACATGGGTGTAGGGTGCTTATCCTTATGAAAGTATATCTTTGTTTAATGTTATTTGGCATCTGTGGTACATTTGTGCAATAGGATTAACTTGTACCTTAGTTAATAGAATATTTTTCATCTTTTATAGTTCAAAAGTTTCTAAAAGATCACTAAGTATAATCACAACAAAAATAAACTTTGAAATAGGTTTTGATTTCTTCTACTAATTAAAGTTTGTTATCCTAAGATCTGTTCAAAGACTCGTTGCTCCTGTCCCCAGAAAAAAAGGCACATTGATCTCAAGAGACCCCACCGTCAAGAGCTATGTGGCCGCTGTAAAGGCAAAAGATTATCTTGCGACAACACCTACAGCTTCAAATACATTGTTTGATCTGTGCAGTTTGTATGCTGAGGTTGCATTTAGCTATGCACTTTGTTTCATAATATGGATTTGACTTTAGGATTCTGACCTGGCAATGGATAATGGACTAAAGATGTTTGCAATGCTAAAATATATTTGTAATTTATCACTGTACAGCCTAATTAATAAAACTTAAATTCTAATTAAATTGTATTTCCCTTGATGAGCATTAAAAAGAGATGGGAAAGCTGACATTCTTAATTAGAAATAGGTGGAAAACTTAGAGGGATTTTACATGCCAGATTAAAACTTGCAAACAATACATTATATTCCTGCAATCTTTTTGTAGAAACAGTGATATATTTTCAGGATTCTGAATATAATTGAACTTATTGAAGTTTGATAAAGATTGAGTAGTATACATTCATATTCACTGTGGCATTCTATACATGAAATTAAGTCTTAAATCACTGAAGAAAAATAGACTATGTAATGGATTTATATGATAGGGGTAACAATCATTAAATGGAATAAAAAGCACAGTAGTCTTCCTGAGTATCAGATGGCCTGTCTGTCTTGTTGAAATTACACAGGAAAAAATACCTGAGCATACTAGTCTACTTAGGTATTTTGTATTGATAATATAAGACAATATCAGATTGCTAATGTACTTTAAATTTTGTGGCTCGTGTTAAATTATTTACATGTTAGCACTTTTATCCTAGGAGGGACATTACTTTCAAAACTAATTTGCAAAAAAAAAATGATTAGGCCTATATTAGAAAAGATGCATACTGATTTTCATAGCACTATAGATTAAATATGCAATTTCAAACCAATGTAAAAACAGGAAAAAATTGATAAGATTTGGCCACTCTTCATAAACAATTGAAATTTTCATATCTATTTCATACACTAATGCAAAAAAAAATGTAACCTGAGTAGTTGCACGTGCAATGAGTTTGTACCCATTTCTGCTGCATTTTAGCAAAGAGATGTGGAAATAGATGGTTAAATGAAGCTTCCATGTTATTTCCAGTGGTTTTCAGATGATAAAAATAGTAGCAAAATTATACTGAAAACAACACAAGTTGTAAAGTTGCATAGTTCAATTATGCATGATTGATAGTTCTTAGATATATGTACATAGGTTGACATTTCATTTAAAAAAATGATGGTGTTGGTTTAAACCTGGGTTATACACGAGCTGATAAGTAGCACAATGAAGAAGAAACATAAACTTCATCTGTTCAATTATATTAGATTTACTAACACTCAGAAACATTTGTTAATCTCTTACAAAGCATTCCTCTAAGAGAATAGTAACTAAGTGAGTAGGGCAGCACTCGAGTCACACAGTGAAAGAGGCACTTCATGTTAGCTTTTATGAGGGTTAGCTGACACGGACTTGCCACATAAGATTATAAGCAATAAAAATAATTTTATATCCCATTAATACTCCCCAAATCCATATGATTATGGTAGGCCTTAGTCACTAAGCATAAAGCTTGTCTCTCTTCCAACTCAATAGAGAGAAGAAACCAAGATAAATACCTAGCAAATGACATGTTGATTTTATAATCTGAATGAAAGATACACTATTTTAATTCCTGTTTGAATCACTTTTAGGAAATGAAATTTTAAATTGGCTTCTATAATAAAGGTGGCACAATCCAGCAGGAAGAGGTTCACACCTATAGAGCCCATTCTGCTCAATCGTGGTGTTACAGAATAAGTACACTTACATTTTGCATAACATAATATGTATTTCTTAACAGCTTGACTTTTTCATTACAATTCAAACTAATACTTTGCTTCCCTTATATATGTTCAAATTACTGTTTTGAGGAAGGGAGAACAATTTTCATATATTTGCAGAAGCCCTTTCAGCCTGGTTCCTTTCCCACTTGTTTGGACTTTAAGTCCCAGAATTCCAGTATATTCTCTAGTTAGAAATTCTGGTATTAGTGGTCCCAACATCTCTGGAAGACACCAGATTGACAAAGCTTAGCTAGAGAGAACCGGTTGAGCAAGAATACATTAATTTTAAGGGATTTTGTTAAATTTATATCAATTTGTGCAGGTTAATGTTTGGATGCATAGTGAGCACATAAAAGGTGGACTAATTTACATGTTGATTCAAGCCCAACTAAAAACCTGATTTCAAAATATTCTTACAGAATTGTTTCCATATATTTTATAGCATAAACTCATTACAATTTAGTACATTTACACACTAATGTGTATGTATATAGATATATGTATGTATGCATGTACATACACACACATACATATATAGATTTTTATATTTGAGATCTAATGATCAAAATATTAAAAGAAAATTCACAAAAACCTTTAAATGTATTTACAGGGCGAATAAGTGACACAATGTTGGAATAAAAGTGTCTCAAATGTGCAAATAACTTACATGCACTTATTTTAACTCTTTACAGCAGTAAGTGCAAAAACAAATTGCAGAAAACAGGAACATATATTACTAATAAGCAACCCCCCACTTGAAAATAGAAAGTAAATCTGATCTGTACTTAATAATTTCAGTGTTATATTCCAAATGTACATTAAAATTAAAAGATGCATGTACCAGTTCAAAAGAATTTAAATCAGACATATTTTTCTACAAAATGACAACTTATGCCAGACCAGCATTCTTAATATAAATATACATAAAAGCAACTCTCTAGTAAAAAGCAGCCAAAATCTTTTTTAAAAAAAAATCTTAGTCCATTCATAGGTACTTGGGTCTTCATAACAGACCTCATGAAATAGGATCTAGTACCTTCCAAGACAGTAGCCTAGCAACATCAACAAATGTACTTCGTAGCAGCTTATTTTTTCCCTATTTAGAAGATACACTAATCATATTTAAATTACAGTGCACATCTGTAGTCCTTTACAACAATTTTCATATGCAGAGGCTCTCAGCTTTCGCAGTGACAGTCTTTCAGTATCTTGTCGCTAAGCTTCATTCTGCCTGTTTTTAATAACTTGGTCAAAGGAATAAATGTACAAAACTAAAAAAAAATCCTAAAGTGAAGGAGAGATTGCACTTTTGATATCTAAAACTATTTTCTAGAAAGGAAGTCTTGCTCAGTGTAGTAGTCTTTGGTATGTAAGGAAGTCACTTCTTCAGTAGTGAATTGCAGTTGCCCTGTGAAAGTCATTTGGGTGTGTAGTTCAGAACAAAGGATTTGATGCTACCTTTGTCCTTATATTATGACTGCACTCTGAAAACACTGCCCAACTTTTCTTGGAAAATATTGTAAAAGTAACAAGATTGACTATGACTTGACCAACTCTTTCGAAAGCTGAAAATGCACTGAACCATCTCATCCCAGCATGGAAGCAATCCCAGCCTGAAAGAGGTAGGGGGCACAAGACTTTTGTCAGAGACTCGTGCCAGAGACACTGGAATCTGGAAGAAAAGAATTGATCACGCGGTAGCTTTGAGCTCGCCGGATCATGTCCCGGATTTCTATGTTCAGCTCCATCAGTTTCGTACAGATTTCGGTCAGGCTTTGGTTAGAGCCTACCAACGCATAAGTGCCAGATTGCCCTAGTGTTTGGTGCCGGAAGTAAATATTCAATAGAGTCTGGACTTCATCATCAGAACTGCTTCCAAAAATGTCATTCGGCCATAAATTCCTGCAATGAAACAAAAGTACAGGATATGCTACTGAAATGCTGTTTAATGCAAATGAAATCCCATTTCTTTATTTCTGTGCCTAACATGTAAAAAAGTTAGGAAAAAACCACCAGTGTTATAGATATCACAAAAAGAAGGGAAAATGCAAAGGCACTAATTACAATATGCAACACATTTAAGAAGATTCCTCTTCAAGATTTTTCTCTCTCCTTTGAGGGAAGAGGAAGAAACTTCATTATTACCTAGTAAAGTAACTTTAAAACTCCTGGCTTTTTGTATAAAGCAGGTTCTGTTTTTTTATTTGCATGAACCCACTGGGTTTTACAAGTTAATGTAATACAAACCAAACAGATATGCCGGTTCTTTTGGGGGTGGGCTGGCTTTTGGTACTATCTCATGTAGATATTCCATGCAAAAGAAGCTTGAAAACCAAGACATAGATAGTTTAGTGGACAAAACCAGTAGATATACATGAGTATGTTCACCACTAAGTTGGCATAACATACTAGAACAGTGGTGGGAACCTATGGCATGGGTGCCAGAGGCGGCACTCAGACCCTTCTCTGTGGGCACATGCACCGTCACCCCAGTCCTAGGCCTTCAGCTGGGTTTTATAAAACCTTTTCACTTTAGGCCTCCGCCGCCATGTGCAAAAAAAAAAAAAGGTTCAATCAGTCAATTTCAACTTCTCGCGGGAAAAAAAAGATCTTGCAAAGTTGGAATTGATTGATTGAACTTTTTTTTTTTGCACATGGCGGCGCACATTTTTTGAACATGTAGAGAAACCTGATGAACAATGGGAGCACAGAACCTTTTATTTCTCAATTATTAGATTGAAATGAATCCCTTTAATCTGGAACCATCTATATAAATTCAGCAATAATATTCAGTATTATTCAGTAAAAACATACAGTATTTGATAGTTGTTCTTCAAAGAAAATAGAAAATATGATACATTAGTCATCTATTCTAATGTACCTGCATTCTCTTATTTGGTGTAGAGCTTTTCCAAGTTCATTGTTTCTCAGACACTCTAGCATAAATTGAATAGCTATTTCTGTAGAAGTGAACATGGGTTCAGAGGTACCACTTTCTATAATCGATGGATCAACTGCAATGGCAGCACTAGCTTCCTTAAGGTTTTTCTTTAACTCACTCAGTTCTCGTGACATATTTAGCAGCTGTGGAAGAAGAAAAATCATTTTCAGCAATGTACATTTTCTCCCTCCCATTTAAAAGATGCAAAATTCAAGGACAGATGAATTATTTAAATTAGGAGGAACAATATCCACATGAAAATTAATTTAAGAATATGCAGTGAAATATATATTTGATACATCGTGTCCTGATTTTAAAACCTGGGGAGGAATATAGGGAGTTTTACAAGTTAAAGAAAATATATTGTAAATTCATTCCTACTTTTAAAAAATGTAATAGATATTAAGTAAAATAAAATTTTATTTACCCTATTAATCTCAAATATTTGGATATGAATCCAACTTTATGGATTTATTAAGATTTTTTTAAACTAAAATCAATGCTCTAAGCATTAGCATTTCAACCCCACTGTTCTAAAATAAGATCTATATATTCCACAGTACTTCATGCTATCTTATTATTTCTTTTAAGCCTCGGTCTAGCTTGGTTAAAGAGTCTACTTCATTTGTGCTATATTTGCCCAGTTTACAAGATCAATGCATGATGTGAGAAGGGTTTTGTTCTTCAGTTGGCTTGTTGCAAACCCTTATACTGTGTTATGTCATTGTTTGGCGGCTGTGAGAAAATGACTGACTCAAGGTTATCCAATTGGTTTACACGCCTGAGAAAGAACCTGCAGCTCCTTGATTCTAGTCTAGCATCTTAACCACTAAACCACACTGCCTTTCATTTGCATGTTTGTATTTTGTGAGAGTGGAATAAATGGATTGTGAATCTTATTAAACATGGCATCCTTTATCAGAATAAAACACACTCTTTTCCAGTGGTTTTGTTTCTACTTCTGGGAATGGCTTTATGAGGTGGACTCTCTTAGGTCCATGACTTCTGGGCCATGAATCCCACAATACACAGTATTGTTACCATCGTATTTTTAACCTCCTTTATACAGTCTACTCTCTATAAATTGAGGTGGGAAAAACTGTGTCAATAATTTTAAAAAATCTGAAAAATCTCATAAGATGAGGCTGTTAAAGTGACATCAAACTTTACTTTCCCTTGTTTTTAAAATTAGGTGAGATACCGCAGGTGTTGGCTTCTGACTTCATGAAAACCAATTATAACAATATGTTATTGTAGACTGCAGCTTACAGCTATATATCAGTTGGGTCCGCTGATACTAGTACTATTAAATTTAAAAGGCTGTATTGAGATTATTTCAATTTAAACATCAATTCCTTGAGGTATGAAGACAAGGCACCTCATCAGTAATTCTACCTGCAGGTTACACGTTACACGTCTAGATGGCTAGGTTCTGCTTTATTTTGGACAAAAATAGGGCAAGAATACTAATTCCAAGGAAAATAATACTATTATCCTGTCATGAAAAGTAGATTCTACCATTTCATAATTCCATGATTAATGTTGAAGAATAAATATAATAAATATATAACTTGAAGAATAAATATATAGCATTTAGATGAGCTATGCTTTTAAAAAACCATGCCACAAACCTATTTAAGAGTAGCCCACTATATGCTACATGCAGCTTACTGTAATACTATAGTTTCAGTATTAAAATTAGGGTAGGGAAGTCTTTACTCAGCCATTAAATTCAACCGAGGGATATTACACTTTTTGCCAATATTTTGTTCAACATTCCTGTGGGAAAAAAATGGGGTGTAGAGAATGATGTGCATACCGACTTTAGCTCTCTCTCTGTATAAAGGAGAAGCAAAATGTATATGTAAAAAAAATTGAAACTTTTTTTAAAAATGGGACCAATTTACATAAAATCAACAAAATGCTCTAAAGTTTTCTACATTTACAATTTTAAAAGAGAGTGCTTAATAGACAATCTGCAGACCATAATGTGTTTGGGGCCCAATAAAAATATAGGAGTGTGATTGGCACATGATTCTGTAATAGGAAATGTGGGGGGACTGTTACATAGGCATTACACTGTTAAAAAACTGGGGGAGGAGGAAAAAAATATTTAATTCTTATTCATTTTTCTTAATCATTCTTTCCATTACAATACTTGTCCACCAAAATTTAAATGTGGTACTTAAAATTCACCTGGTATGGTGAAAGAAATAAACATTAATCAGAAGAATATAGCAATTACTCCAGCGAAAAAATGCTTCTGTCTTTTTTTTTTCTTGCTACATACCTCTGGCATTGTACTAACTTCATGCACCTGTCCGATGAGTTTACAGTATGACTGAAAAAGCAACAACAACTGAAAGTGCAGCTTATATAATCTCTGACACAGTTCCAATTGCTAAAAAAAAATAGTAGAAGAGAGAATTACTATTAAAAGGTGACAGCTTGGATTTTTCCATAATGTGCTTTGCAATAGAAACTCAAGGATTACAAAACAATATGAAGCTATTATGAGTATCGTATGCTATTTCTACATCATTTGCTTTAATATTTCTTTAGGCTGATGATGAATTAGAGCAGCAGAGCTGCTAAAATATAAGCCTCTATATCAGTTATCCCTGATATAATTTTTTCTTCGGCCATGAACACAGTTGCGAGCCATTCTTTCTTACTCCCATGCAATATGAAGTTAATAATGATGCTCTATCTTGTAGGACTTGAAATGCTGAGTCTTATTAAACTTTATGATGTAGTCTCTTCTTACATCATTTCTTTTTATTAAGCTAACATTACCCGAATGACTTTAACATTTCATCTATTTCATCTCAATACAATGTACATTAGTTTTATAAGTTTATGACATAAAATTTAAGAACAGACAAGCTGTGCTTTTACTTCAAGTAGTATCAGAAATTGCATTCTGGTATCATAAACTGTAATTTATTGTGATAGGAAACAGCTTAAGGCCTCTGTATTCTCCCTTTTCTTCTCCTATATGGCCATGAAAAGAAATTTCAAAGCCTTTTTTCCATTTTATTAATTTTATTTTACTGTTTTGTCTTCTGTCAAAATAATTTGGCTAATCTTATCTCTGTTTTGTTAAAACAATAGAATTTTAAAGCATGGGTTATGAAACATAAAGATTCTTATGAAAAAATATAGTTTAGACATAATTGAAATGTTCAGTTTCCCAGTTGCAGGGCTCATAGCTGATTTCATTGCAAAACCCCTGGCTCATTGTGAAATAGCACAATGGATTCTGTAATTGTGATTCATTCCTATTTTCGTGGAATGACTGACCCTTTGAATAAATTACATTATTTGCTAAAACTAGTGAATGTTATTGACTCAGATATTGAGAATAGGTAAATAATTTTTATGGGAACTATTGCTTAAATTGAGCCAGATAAATTAAAATTAAAAGTTTTACTCTAAATTATATTTGTTACCTGGTTTACTTATGTTTATGATAATTCCCTAAGTTTAAAAATTATAGCAGCTGTTCCTCAAACTTTTCATTTATCTGGAACATTTTATTTTCATTGAAAGGCTTCACCACATAAACCAGAAACTGTGGAACTGTAATATTATATTAGAATTATTACTGTTGTTGTTTCACTAGCATTCCCTCTTGAAATCTTATGAACTTGCTGTAAAGTCAAAACCTTGTGAGAATTTGATGCTATTATATCATTTGGACCCAATTTTATTTTGATGTCCACTGCAGAAAGGACCTATACTCTTTTAATAGGTTATAGTAATAGGTTACTTTAATGATTTGCTGAGTACAGATTCAGAATTATTGCCCTATAGCTTTTGTAGGTGACTGCAAATGACTACTGTAAATTCTGAAACTCAATTACTTAATGTCATAACAATTCATGTGGTGATAGATTATCATTTGTTACAAGATTATAACTCATTATATAGTAGCCACTTAAAAGCAGTTGAATTCCTCTCCTGCATCATGAGCATATGTAGTGAATATGTAATTGTTAACTAGATATCTAGTCCTCGAGAGAAATGACCAATTCAAGCTACAAATAACAGTCCTCTCATATGAAATAGTAATGTAGCTAGTTTGCTGCAGTGATGGCTGATGTGATCAGGAAACAAGTCACTTTCTTTAATAAAATATTATATTAGTTTGATTTATTCAGAAGAGCAGCAACTGAGTGCCCTGATAATTAAAGAAGGCTAATATACTTTCAAATAAAATTCATATAATAATTGGAATTAAATGTGACATGGTCAGAATGTATAAACAAAGAAAGCTCCATTCAAAGGATGGAGCCTGGGAAACTGTACAGTAAAATAAAATAAAAACAAATTATTTAATAGCAATGATTGTACACTGAATAAATAAGAAAGTGAAAAGGGAGAAACATGCTAAGAGTTAAAAACAGTGTTATTAGTCCATCTTTTAATGGACAAAGAATATGAAAAGAATGTTTAACTTACTGCAAGAGATTCCATTTGCTACACAGCAAGCATGGCACAGGAAAAAGGAAAGGAAAGAAAGTAAAGTGTCAGTGTAATGCATGCAACTGGAAAAGCACAGCCATTCCTACTACTCTCTTACTACAATTAGCAGAGCTTATTTTGAGTTGCTAAAGTGATTCAGGATGTATCAACTACACAACATGCATGGCTCGGAAATCTTAATAATAATTGTAAAATCAATAGCCGCAATTCTCTTATAGACCAGAGTGATCTGAAGAAAAAAAATCAAATCCCATAATAAATATGTATTAGAACTGGCCAAATAATATACTAGCTTGTGATTTCCAACATCTTCACCAGCAAGATGCAACAGACTGGAAGGAAAAGGTTACAAAAAAGGACATAATGTTGGAATTATGAAGTCTGTGTTTTCATAATCTTAAAATTTCCATTTTAGGAAATTTTAAAAAGCTGTGGATGCAAATTGATTAGACTCTTTTAGTATCATGCAGGTTTCAAACAATATCTAAGCAGTAAGCAAACATATAATGCCGGATTGCCCGGTTTTTGAAATAGGTCAGGCCCAACTTATTTGCAGGATATTTCACTGTCAGCTCTTCAATAGAGCATGTTTTGCCACGTACTTATTATAGTTTAGGAGAAGATTTAAAGCCTCCTCGTGTTTTTAGATTTTTTTTAAAAAAATGGTGATTATATGATTTTAATAGGTTTTCTGTATGTTGTAATCCGTTTGGAGCAATGATAGAATATGCCGCATATACCTTTCTAAAAATAAAATAAAAAATAAAATAATATGATTGATTTAAAAACAATGGCAGCCCCACCTCAACCTCGTTTGTGTTGTGCTTAAAAGCATCTGTTTATGCACAATTTTGTACTTGCTGACTCTGATCAAAAAAGCCTCATGTGTACCGTAGATGTTAAATATAGTTAACCTATTTCTGAAAGCCATTTGTAAATTAAGCTATCATTCCTAGGGTATTGATATCTTTAAAATGTAACTTAAGATAATGTAGAGGAATATTTCTTTAGGATAGCTGTGAAATTAAACTGTCCACAGCGTTCAAACTGTTGACAAACCATCTGTATTTGCATTAGGTCATGCTATACCCAACCAGAATATGAAAGATGATGGTTCTGTGAATCATGAGCCTGTATAATATTTCTTTTTCCTAATAAAATAGCACCAGTCACCTATTTCAAGAAAGTTCTTTCTCAAACATCTATTCAGCTGTCAGTAAGTAACACAGTATGTGGGAACAATCTACTCTGGGGCCATCTTTCCTAGATCAGTGATTCTAATCTCCAACACCTTCTTGATCATCATATAGGACCAGTGTTCCATCACTGTAAGAAATGGAGAAAGAGAGCACCCTACCAAGCAAACATTTCTGAAGCTTTGTAAAAATTCCTAAGGAAATGAAAGATGATTCCTCCTCCAAAGATCTACTGCTTCAACAGTGATAAACCAGTGATTTTATCTTGCTATATATATGCAGTTCATATTTGAAAAAAATCATAATTAACTTGCCATGGAAAGTAAGGTTAAGAAATGCAGCATTTACACCTATACAATCTAGCTAAAACTGAAGTATTTGGATATATTTTGATGATAATAATGATAATCGGACACAAATCCTAAAATGTATGAGTTTATATACCCAGAAGTAAAAAAACATTTTTTGAATTAGATTGTTATCTTTATTATTAGACTTTTATCTCACGTTTTTATATATAACTAAGGCAGTGAACTTACCTAATTATTATGACTATAATAGCTATTACGTTTAATAATATTATACTAAATTATGACGGTGATACTTGAACCCTCAAAAATAATTAAAAACTGTTATTCTTCACTTAAGCATTAGTATGCCATTTTATAAATATGTTGTATAAAATTTCTACCACTGCTTCATTGGATAAGAACAATGAATTCTTGGCATTTAAAAGTTTTGTCTTAGCAGGATCTCTTGTTCCACCACATATGGGTAACCCTTGACTTACAACCATTCATTTAGCAGCTGTTCGAAGTTACAATGGCACTTAAAAAAGCAACTTATGACCATTTTTCACACTTACAACTGTTGCAGTATACCTTGGTCATGTGATCAAAATTCAACTGGCATGTATTTAAGGTGGTTGTAGTGTCCTGAGGTCATGTGATCACTTTTGCAACCTTCTGACAAGCAAAGTCAATGGGGATACCAGATTCGCTTAATGACCGTGCCACTTAACAACTATGGTAAGAAAGGTTGTAAAATCAGTCAAAACTCACTTAACAACTATCTTGCTTAGCAACAGAAATTTTGGGCTCAATTGGGGTCATAGGTTGAGGACTACCTGTACAAATTTGTGTTAAATTTGTACCTCATACCTTCAGGATTTGACTATTTTTCCTTACTTAGCCTTTTCTTTATGACCACCCTGTTTCCTTAGCAGGGGTAGGCAGCCTTGGCTCTTTTATGACTCGTGGACTTCAACTCCCAGAATTCCTGAGCCAGCATTCTGGGACTTGAAGTCCACGAGTTATAAAAGAGCCAAGGTTGCCTATCCCTGCCTTAGCCAGAATGAAATCAATACTGTTTGCCGTAAAATAAAACAATAACTTGATTTTAAATTACTCAGCAGTATCCTGAAATACCATAATGCTGCATATTTGACTGAAAGTTGCCTTGCTGTACAATATTATACAAAGGCACAGGTTAGCACCAGACAAAGTTGTTAGCTGTAATCAACTACAGACAGTTATTGGTGGATTAATCCTAACTTAATTAATATAAGAAACACTACAGTTTTAAGGATTTATTGCTTTAGTTGATACCTATAAAAATTTATCCTTTAAAATTTCATTTAACTAGTTCAATCTGGTTTGGTGAACTAAATATGAAATCAGATAGAAAGGGATGAGAGATCTGACAGATCTTTGTCAGAGTTTGTCTTATAGACAACATCTTTCTGCATGATTTGAGGTACTCTCTGCATACTTAATTTAACTAATATAAAAACAATAATCAGGCAACATATCATCTTCTTTGAATTACTCAATGTAAATGAATGAGCACATTCTAATAATGTAAACTTGTGTCCAGAGGAGACACAAAATACGGCACTGGAATGCTGCTTTGGTCTGTGAATTAAAATATATTGTCATTTGGATGGGAAAAGGCAGGAGAAATTCAGTTTTAATTACATTAGTTAGATTTGGTTAGTTTCGAAAAACCCCTAATTTGTGGCAAATGGCTATATAAAGCTTATGGCATGCCAGGACAAACTAATAGATCATTAATAAATGCTTTTTCACTAAGTAATTACTACAGGCTAAATCCTATGAGGCTTAGAAACTACAAACCTCATTATCCTAGAAAGGTAGACATGCCATTGGGAAGTTAAAGCTGAATATTCTCTAATTCCACGTACAAAAATAAGGAAAACGGTTTACTTTCTCTTGTTATTATTTTATGCATATGGTCAAAAAATAGTGGGAGGAGACCCAGTGCAAAGAGAGGAAACTAATTATGTGGGAAATTAAAAGCAAATTTTTTAGCAGTGACTACTAGACCAATAGCACAGTTAAATTATGACAGAAAGGAAGTTGAAAGAGTAATTTGCAAATAAATCAAAAAAGCAAAAGCTATCAACAGTCTTCAAAACTTTACAGGGGAAAAAAATACATTGAAGCCACATGTTGATATTTGTAACATTACTTGCACTCTACAGATCCTGGATATCAGCTATTTCTTTTCAGTTATGGCAGATATGCTGCTTTCATTCATATTTCTTCCTGATTCTATTTTTTCAAAAAAAACTACTGTGAAATTTATCTCCAAGCCTTTGGCAAGGAAACTATTCTGTGTTTGCCAGGAGTGCATTAGGCCATAAGTACTCAGTACTGCTTTACTTTCCACACATTGTAAAGAAATATGTAAATGCAGAATATATTGTTCACCACTTGACTCTGAACATGCTATGGACAGTGTATTATTCAGCACTGGATTCATACCAAGACATTAGAATTAACAGTCCATTAATATTACAATATGTCTTCAGTGCTGGTTTATTCCTTAAGCTTCTTAAACAGGAATATATATAAGACAGAAGAAAAGAGGATATTATGCCCTATGCCAAGTGGAACAAGTTAAAGCAACTGATTTGCATCATAGAATCACAGGATTGGACAGGATCTTTGTACACTAGGTATGTCAGGAATGATGAAATCCTTGGTTTATTATTCACATATATTTATGTGATAAGTCAGCAGTCATGAGCAGAGTAGTATTCACCACTTAATATGTTATGTATGGTAATCTTAAATGATTAGAACATTTTTTATGTTGATGTAGTTATTTTGAAACTAATAGTATGATTTTAATCCCAGCTAGGGGATTAAACTGCTCAGCGTTGGAAGACTGACCTATAAGCCCTCAAACATAATACATACATACCTACATAAATCTGGCCATTTATTCCATCTCTTTCCCAAAGAGAAATGTAAGCCAAGCGTCTAGATTACTGGAGGAATCCCTTTCATGCTTTTTCAAGGAATATTTTCAAGTTGAAGGCAAAAAGATGCTTTTGCGGTAAATGAATGATCCTGGAAAAGGCATAGCTGCTTTAAGGCACTACAGACAAATGCTACTACATTCACTTGTGTTTCAAAGCACTTTTTTGCCTTCTGGTCCAAAGTGAGACATAAGCCTATTCACTAATATATGTCTACTTTCTGATTAGATAGTAATGAGTGCAAAATAGTCAAAGTTTGCAAAGTCATTAATGTTGAATGGTTGAATGGTTGAATGGTCTTTCCTGTATCACCTCTGAATGCAGGAGCAGGCACAGACCCTTTGCTGCTAATCTCTGTATTATATGCTGCTCAAAAAAATAAAGGGAACACAGCAGTATAGGATGTCTTATTTTTGTGTTCCCTTTATTTTTTTGAGCAGTATATATGCACATGAATAACCCAAAAAGGTCTTTGAAACAGCTGAAGGATGGCTGTTGAAAGACATATGAGGCTGGTCCATTTGAAGATTCCCTTCAAATTAATCAGAGGCATTCACCCTAGAAAGAAGCTGGCAGCCCTAGAAAGGGAAACTATTGTTTCTTTCCCCATTATTGGCATTTGGTTGAGGTGGGTGGCTTACTGATGGGAATTTGAAGGAAGAAGGGATTTTTCAATGTTAAAAAAAAAAACTATGGCAGTACAAACCTTCCCTCAGCATGTGTGAGAATAATTCAGAATCTGCTTACTGTATATTAAGTTTCATAGTTGCTATGGTATTAGACTGAAATTGAAACCAACACAAGGTACACAAAAACCTTCTTCCAGAAACAATACCATATAACCAGAATTTTTATTACCTTTTCTTCTGAATCTCCTGGCTGACAGGTGATAACCCCATCTCTTGAACCCCCTGAAAAAGTTGCCTTGCAGTTTGCCAGCCACTGTTTGTAAAAAAACAATATATATGTATATATGTGTGTACATACATACATACACATCCACACTCACACATATTTATATAGGCATTAGCACAAAAGACATAATCTTTCCATTTTTTAAAAATCATACTTTTGAGATAATATACATTTTACTGAATTTCTAAATATTTTCTGGGATAAATCTAAGAATTGATGCATTACTGTGCTGAATATAAAATTCTTGAATGAAAATGTAGTAGATACTACATTATAACCTAATCAAATTTAATCACATTATGATGACTCCAGTCCCTAAAAACATTTATAGATCTTGTTTACTTCCTAAAATGTGATAAAGTTTTTAAAGTTAAAATCTTTAAGATATGTATTCTGAAAGTAATGAATATACAACATCAGTGTAACTAGCTCTAAGTTTTTTTTAAAAAAAATGGCTTACTGATGAACTAATCCCCTTCCAGATTTTTGATTTAAAAATAAGACAAAATCAACATAAGATAAAACATAACAATCATGCTTACAGAAAGTGTTGCTTCTTTTCTGTTATTATATGTATCCAAGTATTCTTGCAGTTCTAAGACACTAAACTTTAATTTCTCTAGAAGCCCACAAGAGAGAAGCTGGAAAAAAATAAAGATGCTTCAATGAACATTGTTTCTTTCAAACACTGGTAAAAATGCTCTCATTGAGTAATGAAAATCAGTAGGAACAATCCCATAAGAGTTAAACTCTGGAATAGTCATGCAGAAGTGGCTTTGTCTGAGGCACACTGCTTTATATGAGATCAGATGTTGCAGATAAACTCTCTGGTCTAGCTGATGAAGATTCTCAGTCATCCTGGTAAAGTTATCTTAAGGCTGAGTCATGGAAACTAGACTTATTTTCTTGTTGGTTTGAAATGTTTCACTGCTCAGCCAAGCAATTTCATCAGTCAGAGTAAATTCATTAGGCAGAGATCATAAAACGTATAAAGAATGGTTGCTGGAATTGGGTATGTCTAGTTTAATGAAAAGAAAGACTAGGGGTGACATGATAGCAGTGTTCCAATATCTCAGGGGTTACCACAAAGAAGAGGGAGTCAAGCTATTCTCCAAAACACCTGAAGGCAGGACAAGAAGCAATGGATGGAAACTAATCAAGGAGAGAAGCAACCTAGAACTAAGGAGAAATTTCCTGACAGTTAGAACAATTAATTAGTGGAATGACTGGCTTCCAAAAGTTGTGACTGCTCCAACACTGGAAGTTTTTAAGAAGTGATTGGACAACTATTTGTCTGAAATAGTATAGGGTTTCCTGCCTGAGCAGGGGATTGGACTAGAAGACCTGCAAGGTCCCTTTCAACTCTATCATTCTATTCCACTCCATTCCACTCCACTCCACTCTATTACTATGAATCGTTGGAATGTACTAACTCCTCCTGCACTAACCTCTCCTCCTAACCAACTTACTCTGATTGGTGAAGCTGCTTGGATGAGCAGTGAAGCATCTCAAAAATCAAGAAAATAGGTCTAGTTGTCATGACTCAATCAACAATTTTACCTGGATGACTGAAAATCTGCATTGATATATCACAATGAACTTTGGGGAAGAAATGTGTAAGGAATTGGTACATTCCAAGGACTCTGCCTAACTAACTTGTTCTGACTGATGAAGCTGCTTGGGTGACCAGTAAAATGTCCCAAGCTAACAAGAAAATAGGTGCCATGACTCAACCTTCAGACTCTAGTTTAGCCTTCTTCATGAAGAAAATGGTTTGGAATTTGAATGGTAGCACTTTGGTGATGTAAGTTTCCATTTATAGTCTGACATGGTAATTCATACAAAAACAGATTTTGGTGATTAAGGCATCTGGCTAGAAAGTGGGAGTCAGTTCAAGTCCTGCCTTAGGCATGAACGTCAGTTGGGTGACTTTGGGCCAGTTACTCTCAACCCAACCTACCTCACAGGTTTGTTGTTCTGGGGAAAATGTAGAAGGAAGGTGTGTTGGATATGTTTGCCATCTTGAGTTAATTATAAAAATAATAATAAAATGGGATACAAATAAATAAAATAAAAATAAATAAAATATAATTGTGCATTAAAGGCTGTATTGTATACTTCATAATATGCAATGTATCTCTCATTATCCAGTGAACAGATATTCAGAAGAACTGACATGCTGATCATGAAAAGATATGATGAAATTATACATCCACGTAATTCTAATAAACATGCTGCTTTAGTGTGATTGCGTATGTAAATATACTCACGGTTTCAGCATCTACAAAAAGTGTAGGACATTCTGAACATGAAGTCAGCATCTGGGATGAGCTAACAAACTTTGAGCCAATTCCTCGCAGATTGTCACCAAGATAGCTGGCAGCATCACAAGTTAGAAAGCAGAATCTTTTCTGAATATTCTGTAAAGCAGAATTATGCCCATTATATTTGCTGTAGAATTTAATACATCTTTTAGTTTCATACACAGGCAGTTCTTGAGTTACGACCATAATGGAGCTTGCCCATTAAGGTTGCAAGTGGTGATGACACTCATCCTCTGCTCTCCCTGATGTAGTTGTGGAAACAAACATATGGGTTGTTAAGCAGGTACAAGGTTCCTTTGGGGTGAGGGAGGCCCTGGGAGGCCTACTGTAGGCCCAGACTTGCCTTCCCTGGGCTTCCTCCACCCTGAGGCATCCCAGATGCTACTTCTCACCCCTTGGGTCTTCCTAGTCCTTCAGCTTCCTTCTCACCCAGCGACCTGGGAGAGATCAAGCTGGCAGGAATACCAAGCTGGCAGGAATACCAAGCTGGCAGGAATAGCCAACACTCCAGAAGACAGGCTTAGGATACAGGAGGATCTGGACAGACTTGAACACTGGGCGCTATCTAACAAAATGAAAAAAGTAAGGTTCCACATTTAGGCAAGAAAAACCAAATGTACAGGTATAGTATAGGGGGTACCTTGCTCAATAGTAGTAACTGTGAGAGGGATCTTGGAGTCCTAGTGGACAATCACTTAAATATGAGCCAGCAGTGTGCTGCAGCTGCCAAAAAAGCCAACACAGTGCTAGGCTGCATTAACAGAGGAATAGAATCAAGATCACGTGAAGTATTAATACCACTTTACAATGCCTTAGTAAGGCCACACTTGGAATACTGCATCCAGTTTTGGTCACCACGATGTAAAAAAGATGCTGAGACTCTAGAAAGAGTACAGAGAAGAGCAACAAAGATGATTAGGGGACTGGAGGCTGAAACATATAAGGAACGGTTGCTGGAATTGGGTATGTCTAGTTTAACAAAGAGAAGGACGAGGGGGGACATGATAGCAGTGTTCCAATATCTCAGGGGCTGCCACAAAGAAGAGGGAGTCAAGCTATTTTCCAAAGCGCCTGAAGGCAGGACAAGGAGCAACGGGTGGAAGCTAACCAAAGAGAGAAGCAACCTAGAACT